GTCTCAGTAGATGAGGAGTATAGTGCGAAGTCTGAATTCCATGCCTAAAAGCAGGACCGTCATAATACTAAGGTCCACTGCCTCTTTGATCCAGACGGTGCGTTCTCACTTCTCCTTCTCCTTTCATCTCTTTCATCTTATTCTTCGTCTATCTTTTGATTATCGATAATATGAAATATTTCCCTATTAGACGGGTACAAGCTGCCCCTTCTCTTCAGAAGCAATAAGGGCGTTTTCTCTCCCAATTTTTTATTCTATTTGTATGCAGTGCTGATTATTAGGATTTCGGCCCAAGTAACTCCGGCTTTTATCCCGGCGGCCTAGGGGACAGTACCACAACTCGTCTTGTGACAATGGGCAGCAGAAAGCTGCCAAACAAGAGGCCGTTGTTTTGACACAGTTTTGTTACCATCTTTTGGCTCCCGTTGGGTTTCTTGGAAGTTCATCGCAATTTGAAACTGAAGACAACTGAGAAAAAACTTTTTTTCCTTGTTCTTAGTTTTAAGTCTGAGCCACTTATCTGAAGGATCTTGGTGTGAAAAATTTTATGGTTTTTTCCACTCTAAAAACGGAAATTCAGGTGAAACTCGCGGACAACTTCCAATATACTGATCCTATCGATGGGTCTGTGGCCACAAAACAGGTGCGTATTTCTTTGTCACCGTGGGAAGCGTGATAGGGATCGGTCATGAGAAAGGACTATGCTGTAGTTGTGGTGGCTGACTGTAGAAGGAGTCCTGTTGCAGTAGTTAAGAGTTTAGCGGAAACACTTCTTTTGATCTAGCATGTTGGATAATTTGGAGGTTAGATTATTGGTTAGAGAGTCACTTATTGCCGATGAACTATTGGACATCAATCTTTACTTCATATAGTTATTTCTTCCCATCTCCTTTTTTTTACAGGGTCTTCGAATCTTATTCGAAGATGGTTCCCGCCTTGTGTTCCGTCTTTCTGGAACAGGATCAGCAGGAGCAACTATTCGTCTCTACGTAGATTCTTACATACCGGCGAGTGATACGAACAGGCTGTTTGCTCCTGCTCAGGTATGATATCGCCATTCTGCATTTGAAATTCATTGACTGTATCCCGGGCGAGGTGGTGTCGCAAGTAAGGCTCAGTCGCTACTCAACAGCCCATTGGACCACCTCGGTTAGGAGACCGGGCTAGCGCTGTGTGTATATACCGTTGTGTGGAAAAACTGAGTAAGGTAAATAAATCCAGTGTGGAATAAAACTATAGTCGCTTTATGTCCAGGCCCTGAGGACTACGCTTGCGCAGTGGGCAACACACCGTTTTAAAGGCATAGTCTGCCACGCACTGGTTTCCTCTCGCGCCTAAAAATGCTTAGTAGGGCGCCTGAACGTGAGTGAAATGTCAAAATTTCTGCGAAGAATTAGCCTCCGTCCTCAAATCAATTTTGGACGAGTTTCCCGTGGGCATCTTGCCAATCACCGCTGCCGAAGATACGGCTGCATATGTGTACCCGTGTATGCATGCAGCATTCCATACCGAAATCGCGCTTCGCTTATAATTTAGCTAGGGCAAATGCAATGAATAGCGAGGAACGGTCGTCGGATTTGTGCAGCGGACGGACATGGCGGGCGTTTTGGAGCCGTAAAGTTGGCGGCCTTGATACGGCCCTTGTAAGGGCACCTTCCTCGGGGAAACCGCTATGCAGCGCCTGCCCAGGGTCGCGGAATTGTATCCTGCCAGGAGTATTGATCCTATTCGCCTTGGAGGGGGGGGGTATCGGTGCCAACGTGCTTTAAGAGTAACTCTTCCCAACACCATGGAATTAGAGTGTAAAGCGTATACAGAGATGAGACCAGTCGGTACCGAGCGACCCATTTCCTAGTCATTTCGGCGGAAGATACATTGGAGAAGCAGGTTAACTAGGTTAGGTCATAACAGGTTTTCTAGGCAAATTCTGTTTGCAGTGGTACAGTATGAGTCCGGTTTTGGAGTGGCTCGGGAATTTCCCTACCCTCCGGGAACGGTACCAGATTCGCGTCTTGAAGGAAAAACACTGACTTGTACATCTGCTTGCCACCGCAATTCATTGTATAGGCACATCGCATTCAATAAATGCGTGCCGCATCCCGCGAAGGGACTGATCAACGGCGAAGACTTTATCCCTTATCCTTTTATCCTTACATTTATGGTTACGCAGCGGACCAGTGCACATCGCACCAATAAAAATAATATATATACTTTACCTTTCTTCCCGGAAATTCTTAGAAATCGGAATTCCCTAGCAATTTTTCTATTCGACGGAATGCTACTGAAGTCTCTGGAGGGAATGAGGATGTAGGCGACCTACTCAATACTTAGAGAAGGACAGAACTTTTACAGAACTTTGTAAGGCAAGAGCGGTTCACAGACAAATTATAGGCCTCCTATTTTGTCAATAAACTTTACGTGATGTGTACGATTGTAGTGTTTGTTACGTAAGATAGCAGCGTTTGTCCACAAATCTAAAGAAAGAGGACCATTCGAAGAGATCAGTTGCTTCTGCGGTAACCTCCTAGTGGCCTGAAGAAACCATCATCAGAATATCGAAATCGGACGAAAATTTTGATCAGGGTAACGTCTTCGATGGTAAGAATGAATGAAAGGGTAAATTCTGTGCCAGTTCAATCCCTTTCTGAGATGCTTCATGCATTCTACATGTTTCCATTCAGGATCATGATGGCTTATTGTATGCCATGTGGCCTGGACCTGCGGGAGTCAGCCGATGTTCCGACCATTATTTAGCGTCCTAGACAAGTCTGATACCAATTTGTCATCTTCGTAGCGAAGAAGGCTTCATTCGCTTTGGGAGGAGCAAATTGGACCCGTAGTAAAGCAATGTCATGCATGCCTTTGCTACTAGCCCCTTTTCGGCTTTTCCTAATGGTATATGTGCACTCAATTGAAACGGATGACTCAAGAGATGTTGGATAGAAACGTTTTCGTTCGTTTCGTTTTTTTTTCGCTACACTCCTTATCCCTGAGACAGAGTAGGCGTGGCATTTGAATGGCACGGAATCGGTTACTCGTGGAATATTCCAGTCTGGGACAACTGTCATCTTGTTCTGTGTTGGACAGAGACACGACAACAATTGTGTCAAGATGAAAATATCTCACCAGAAGCATAGACACCTTCAGGTTAAGTTGAAGCATGCAGCCACGCCCACACCGGTCTCGGGGATTTCGAGTATACTTAACTATCCACAAAATTTGAAAGACATGGTGGGGTTCACATTCGCTCAGCAAGGCTGTGTAGGTCTGATGAACTGAAAATTTTCTCTGTTTCCAGATCAGATTCGAGCCAATGCACAGTGTGCAACTCTAATTTTACACTTCGCCTGCTATCCTGCAAATTTCTGTTCGCTTCTATGACTTAAATTCAGGTCAAGCCTGCAACGAACGCGTCTGATCGACCGAGCACTCATCATGCGAGCATTTCATGCATCGGAGACAAGGGAAGCTTCCAGTTGAGATTG